TCTATCGTCCTGTCTCCCCAGGTGGCACCCGCCGATACCTCCCCCCGGCTTCTCTGTGCAGCTTTCGCTCCATCTGCTTGGTGAGGACACGGTGTCTGCAGCCCCGGCCCCTTCCTCATCCTCCTCCCCGTGGGGCGCGGGACGGGTCCCTCTCACATCTGCTCTGCTTTGCACCTTCACCGCAGCCCCAGAGCTGAGATGGGGGTGATAGGGGGGTGACAAATGTGGCTTGGGACAGTGGGGATGCACCATGAGATGGCTGGGGACCCAAGGGAGCTGAGCCCCATCCGGAGCCTGCCCAGAGCATGGGCTGGGGGACATCATCTCCCCTGGGCATGGATGCAATGCACCAGGTCCCCCGGTGTCCCCTGGGGCTGTCCCCACTGCACCCCACCCTGCTTTGGGACCCCCTGCAGCAGTGGCTCTGCAGGGGTCCAGCATCCCCTGTCCCACCCCACGGCTTGGTCCCGCAGGGCGGGAGTATGACAAGGAGGGCAACCTGCGACCGTGGTGGCAGAACTCCTCCCTGGAGGCCTTCAAGAACCGTACGGCATGCATGACAGAGCAGTACAGCCGCTACATCGTCCACCACGAGAAGGTCAACGGCCGGCAGACGCTGGGTGAGAACATCGCTGACAACGGCGGGCTCAAGGCAGCCTACAACGTGAGTGCCACTGCCCTAGGTGGGATGCGGACCCCCCTGTGCCTGTGTGTCCCTCCCTGGGGTTTCAGGGTGCCTCTCCCGCAGGCATACAAGTCCTGGCTGCAGAAGAACGGGGAGGAGAAGAGCCTGCCAGCCCTGGGGCTCACCAACCACCAGCTCTTCTTTGTGGGCTTCGCGCAGGTAAGATGGAGCAGGATGGTGGGTTCCTCATCCCTCCCTGGCCCCTTGGAGCCACCCCACAGGCCCTCATCCTGCCTGGGGGGGACCTCTGTCCCCATCCCTGAGGCTGCTCCTGCCCCGGCAGGTATGGTGCTCTGTCCGGACGCCCGAGAGCTCCCACGAAGGGCTGGTGACTGACCCCCACAGCCCCGACAAGTACCGTGTCATCGGCACCCTCAGCAACTCCCGGGACTTTGTCGAACATTTCGGCTGCCCCCTGGGCTCCCCCATGAACCCCGGAAAGCACTGTGAGGTGTGGTAGGGATGGGGAGGGTGCTGGGGACAGAGGGGACGATGCCTGGCTGTACCCCTTCCACCCAGCCCTTGCCGGCTACTGGAGTTGGCCCACTGGCAGAGAGCAGGGCCACCCCCCAGGTCACCCTCCTTCGCGGTCCTCCCCCCCGTGCACACACCGCCTCGCCCCACCTCTGCCCCCCCCCTCCCCCTCCAGCACACACGGCCCCACACCAGGCACCCACCGCAGCCCCCATCCACAGCCTGGGGCCGGGCATGGCTGGCAGAGAAGCCGTAGCAAACCCCAAAATGCAGCTCTGCCCCCCACCCCAACGTGCTACAGACGGACACAGCTCAGCCCCCCCCTCCCCCAGGGGAGGCAGGTCAGAGGGGTCCCAAGGAGAGCACTAGAGCCGAGCCCCCCCTGCTCCTGCCCCCAGACCTGCCAGAGATGGAGGCCAGGGGCCACCCGGCTCTGCTCTGCCCTCACCCCCTCCTGATCCGGCTTGGCTTCCCCATCCACCTCTGCTGGGACCAGTGGGCGGCAGCAGGGACTCTGGTGCCTTCAGCTGTGGGTGGCTGTCGCTGAATTTATTTAACGATTAAAAGCAGTTTCCACTTACTCTGGCAGCTCCGGGTCATTCGCAGTGTTGGGGGCGCGGGGCGGGGAGGGCACAGAGGTGGGATCTGGAGCAGGGGGTGACTCAAAAGCCGGGGACACACACACACACGGGTGGGACATGAGACATCCCGAGGGATGGGAGTGGGAGACGAGACTCCGAGGGATGTCGG